CCCCCCGCCACTCCGAGATGCTGTGGCGGGAAGGGCTGGCTACAAGGCAAGACCCCAGACTGACCGCCTGGGCCATCCAGAGGCTGCGCTGAGCCGGTGGAAGGCAGGCAGAGGTGTGGTGAGAAACCTAGGCCTCAGGGCCCCAAGGCTGCCACGGAGCAGGGGCTTGAAGGAGCCACGAGTGGAGGAAGGGGGCAGGTGCCGGCTCATCTCAGGGGAAGCAAAGCCTGGGATGGAGGATGCGAGGCAGAAAGGTGCAGGGCACGAGCCCAGCACGGGGGTCCAGGACGGGGTTGGATGGGCCTCTGACCTGGGTCTGCAGGGCTAGCTGCTGGAGGTGTGCTGCAGGGTCTGAGGCTGCTATGTCCACAGCCTCAGCCTAGGGCCTGGGCCACCAGGCTGGGGCAGCTGCACTGGAGGGCCGTGCCTGGTGCCACCGGGGCGCCCTGCTTCACCCTCTGCTCAGGGCCTGGCCTTGCAGGGCCCCCAGAGAGGCGAGGCCCCTGGCAGAATGGGGGGAGCCCACTGCAGCCGCCTGCCCTGGTCCCCAGCACTGTGGTCTATTGGGCAGCCTTCCTGGGCAGGGGTCTGGGCCTCACGCACCCCGCCCCATGGTAAAGAGTGGCAAAGGCTCCACTCCCTCCGGGGCGGGGCGGAGGGTGGTCACAACATCCCGTGAGAGGCCGTTCCGAGGCACGGCCGGAGGGAGGCGGCACACAGCACCGGGGGCCCAAGCTCACCTCCCCGCTTGGACGACCGGGAGGTCTTGGAGGACGTGGACCACTGCTTCTTTAGCCCTCGCCCCGTCAGGGCTTCCCCGCTGCTGCCGCTGCCGCCCGGCTCGGGGGGCTGCCCGGAGTCCTGGTCCTGGGCGGTGGCGTCCTTGGCACGCTCGGGGGCCTCGTCGTCCTCGTTGAACCGGCCCATCTTGCGGGACAACATGAGCTGCGCCTCCTTCTCCAGCTCCCGGATGTTCTCCATGCTGAGCCCGAACCACTCGTCCTGCCAGCACCAGGCCTGCCGGTGGGCCCGCACCATCACCCTCCGCAGGCCTGCACGGGCAGGGGCAGGGGCAGCGTCAGAGCCAGCACCCGGGCCCCTGGCGGGAGGCCCCCCACGGGGCAGGCTCAAATCTTGCCCAGCCGGGGCTCCGTTTCCCGGCCCGTAACCGAGGCAGGCC